TAAGATACTTGTGAGGCTAGGTTGGCTTGGTACGTAGCAAGAAAAACTTTTAAGTTCCCAAACTATGTACTTGATAAGTGTGACCGTTTCAGTGATGACTCATCAATGTTGCTATAAAACCAACTGGTTGGTTCCCTTATGGAACCAACACCCAATGATTTTGCTCCATGTGGGGCTGTCCCACATGGAGCACATGGAGCTGTCTAATTGGGTGTTGGTTCCATAAGGGAACCAATCAGTTGGTTTTATAGCAACATTGTATGAGTCATATGGGACTATCTTTATTAGTCATTTTGTTTTATATTTTTGTAAGAATTTATTTGCTTTATGCTATTCTCTCTAAGAACTAAAAAGGTATAGGATTAGATTTGGGTAGGTTCTAATATCATTTGGTCAATAATAATATTGTTGCAAATCATATATTACAAGTTCAACACCTTATGCTTATATGCTACACACAAGATTATCAAACATATATTTTTACTAAATAAACTATTTATAATAATTTCAAAGACCTAAAATCTTTAGAACATATAATTTCATAAACCATAAGTACTTTTTGGTACCAATACCACGTTTGATGGATTGAAATGCTATATGTTGTACTGTTATTATTATCTATATCTATATCTTATATATATATATATATATATATATATATAGGGAGTGGTTCAAATAAAAACCTTTTCTGGTGTGATAACCATGAGAACCATATTTGATGCTATTTTTAATTATGTGTGATGCTACTTTTAATCTTACATGGTGCTATCATTTTTACAAATGCTAAGTTGCTATTTTTAATAAAATACATCCTGATTAAAAATAACACTAAATACAATCAATCATAGCACTTCATACAATTAAAAATAACGTTTCTCACGGTTCTCACGCTAGGACTTGGTTCTCATTTGAACCACATCCTATATATATATATATATATATATAAAGGGTGGGTTTGGTTGTTAAAGGGTGATTGTGCATGATATAATATTCTTGATAACATCAAAGGTTATCCATCAAATCAATTATTCCATTAACTTGTTTGGTTAATGTTTGGTAATTATACTTTTTAGGTTTGAAACTACTTTTCTACCCTTCATTCAAAATTCAATTTTCAAAATTTGCCCTCGACACAATAACATAATTATTGTTTCATTGCATTCATCTACCGTCATCATCTTCATAGCACCCTGTCGCCGACCTTTCCGCCGTCGACCTCCGCCGCCGCTAGCTTTCACTGTGAAAATCCACCCAACCTAACCCCAATTCTCTCAACCTCAGACCCAATCCCCCACCCCGCCCTACACCAAATTTCTTGTGAAAATTACAAGACCACACAACTTTAGTCCCAATCCCTCACCCCTCCCTACACCAATTATTTTCTGCACAGCACCCAACTTCAACCATAATCCACTGACCCTTTCAATTTTTCGTTGCACAGATTGAAAATTTGGGAAAANTTGTAAATTTAAATAAAAAATAGAGATGAAATGATGGATTACACATCCCAACTCCTAAGTGGGATATGGTATCAAGAAGTTGCTTTATTAAATGTCGGGCCATTACCTTTTTCATGGGCTTTTCATGCTTGTACCAAACATAATAATAAGAAGGAAATAGTATGAAATGAGGTGATATCACCCCCTATCAAGCCTACCAAACACACCCAAAGAGAATAATCATTTACTAAAAATAGTAGCAAACAAAGCTGGAAACATTTAATGTTTACCTTATTTGGAATCTTTTTAACTATATGCATTAATTGCTTGCATAGACACATTTCCAAAACAGATATGAAAAGATTGTTTTCTTAAATAATTTTATTAATTTTTGCAATAATTTTACTGATATCCATTATAATAAACTACAATTTGATTTTTCGTGATTCAGGTTGATAATATTTTGGTCAACATAAAATAAATTTTAAATCTTAACTATATTACTAATTTCTTTTTTCAAAAATATTGACTTTTATCCTAAAATATTTATAAACAATCGTAACATGTTAAATAATTTTATCCTTCTAAAAGCAAGTTGATAAATTAATATTTGTTGATAATTTTTTTAACCTTTATTTAATTATATAAAAACAAATAACTTTTCAAAATTAATATAATTCATCATTTAAGAGATGATGAACACTTCATTAAATAATTTTACTAATGACTAGATAATAAAATTAAAATATATTATTTATTCTTTAAAATTTAACATGTGATTTATTTGTATACTATTGTCAACCATGATATTTTTTTTTATTATTATTATTATTATTTTGTTTTGATTTGTTTATATAATGAATTCATTGTAAAATATTTTTCTATTACATATTAAATAATCTATAAAGCCTTAGGATGAAAATAAAAAAATAAAAAAAAAAATCTCTTGATTATGCAAGGGATTTATTTTTTGGCAATTGCTAATTAATTTTTTTTAATTATTATGAGAAAATTGAATTCTAAAAAACATGTGTCTGTATTTTGCAATGTTCTAGAAGTCGCTTGGCGCCCGCTAGGCGTTTGTTCAATGCCTAGCGCCTAGGCGGGGCCTAGAAATCAAGATTAAATACCTTATTTTATATTTATTATCACTACATACAAAATAAAACTATCTAAACTTATAATAAATCAACACACCTAAGTCCAAATAATAATATTAGTATTATAAAGAAAACGTAATAATAAAAAAATATAATTAGTATTTAAGAAAATAAAAAAATACAAAAATTCCGCCTAGCCCGCCTAGGTGGCGCCTAGATCCGCCCAGGCCCACCTAGGCACGCCAAGCCACCGAGCCCACCATGGAGCGCCTAGGTCTGCCTAGGCCCGCCTAGGCGCCTCCTAGTCGGCTGGCTGATTTTTTCAGCATATTTATTCAAATCGGAGGCGGCCGGGCAGCGCCTAAGCGCCGCCTAGGCCGACTTTTAGAACAGAGGTATTTTGTAAGCATTTATACACAAAATATTATTTAAATTTTCATTACACAAATTAATGAGAAGAAGACTGCTTTTATAACTTTTATAAATAATAATAATGACATTACATGACAACAATTTTTATAACAAAACAATAATTTAGTAATATACGGTGAACAAAAATAAGTAAAATTTTTATTTTCTCTTATATCAATGAATAAATATATTTTCTAAAATCAAATTTATATTAGTATAACGTGTTAGCGAAATAATATATTAATTAACATGTTAACGTTCTGGCTAAAATAAACATCACTGATTAAAAGATGTGAAAAATAGATGATCCAACCCTTGTTTTTGTGTCTAAATGTACAAGCCCTATAAAATTTACTAATTTAATATATATATCCCGTGTATTACTATTTATTATTAGATCGAGCTTCTTTATTCGTACACTTTTCGGACGAAACAAAAAGAAAACTCTTTGTAGGAGGTTCCATTTACTAGGATTAGTTGTTTTTGCATATATATATAACATGGTTTTTCTGGCTAAGATAAACATATACTAAGAGCAACTCCAATGCTGCGCTACTCTAGCATATTACGCTAGAGTAGAGACAAAATTGCTCTCCAACATTGTGCTACATCTCTGCACTACTCTATTCAGTATCGTGCTACATCTGGCGCGGTACTATTCATTACTCTACAATTTTTATTTCTTTTTTTATATTATATATAATTGATTTATTTTAAAATTTATTATTTGACAAAGTTGTTACCATTAAATTTATAATTTAATTTTAGAATTATATAAAATTATTATTTTTAAAAATATATATTTATATTGAATTACTATAAAATAAATTAAATAATATAAAAAAATAATAATTATTTGTGGAACAATATTTTAAACTAGTAGAAGAGTAGCAAATAATATTTTGACATGTTAAATAAATTAAAATAATATGAATAATATATGTTGGAGTATAATGTCGCGTGAATGTAGAGTCCAAGAGTAGAGTAACACTATAGTACAGATAAGGTGACGGTGTAATTCAAGGGTTCTTGTGAGCTCATCCTCAAACCCAGATCTGTTCTCAACTTCAATTTCTGAACCCAAAACAATTAAAAAAAATGGCTGAACATAAAAGCAAGATACTGATCATCGGCGCTACGGGGTACATCGGTAAATTCATAGTTGAGGCCAGCGCAAAATCCGGCCACCCCACCTTCGCCTTGGTCCGGGAATCCGCCGTTTCCGATCCCGTCAAGGGCAAAATCATCCAGGAGTTCAAGAACTCCGGCGTCACCATTCTCACTGTATGAACAATATCCCCTTTTCTATTTATGTCTGTTAATTTTATTGGAAAATTGAATATATTTTTCAATTTAGTTTGTGCCTTTTCTCTGCACTTACAGGGTGATCTGAATGACCACGATAGCTTGGTGAATGCCATAAAGCTAGTCGACGTTGTTATATCCGCCGTGGGCACCCCGCAATTGGCTGATCAGGACAAGATTGTTAATGCTATTAAGGAGGCTGGGAATGTCAAGGTTTGTCCTTGTTTCATTGACAAATTGATTTTTTTTTTTTTCTTTTTCTTTAAGAAAAGTTTGATCCTTTACCTAATTTAATTCAAGAATACTAAAAGGGGTGAGACAAAATTTGAAGCTTGATAACATTTTTGTTTTGTATGTCTCTTTTTGAATCTTGCAGAGGTTTTTCCCGTCAGAATTCGGGCCTGATATGGATCGGACTCGAGCAGTGGAGCCCGCAAAGTGGATTTTCGGCATGAAGTCCCGTCTTCGCAGGACTATTGAGGCCGAACGCATTCCGTATACATATGTGGTGTCTAACTACTTTGCTGGCTACTCACTGCCAACGTTCATTCAGCCTGGCGCGACAGCTCCTCCTAGAGACAAAGTGATCATCTTAGGAGATGGCAATGCCAAAGGTAATGAAAAAAAAATTAATTAACTAAACCGATTTGGATTTTATTTTTTATTTTTATTTATTTCTTTTTTTTTTTTTACTTTTTTTATCAAACATCAAATATTATATCACTAAACCATCAATGTACAAACCGAGTAGCCAAGGGACTACAAGTCAAATGGGAAGACGTCCAATAGGAGCTCCCTACACGACCATAACAAGGTCCAAACACGAAAACAACCACAAGACAGGAAAAGCCCTAACAGCAGAAAAAACCAGAAAACAAAAACTACAAAGACAGCTACAAAGAGAAACAGAAAAAACCAAAACATCAGGAAAAAACTAGAGAAAATACACAACAAAAGAAAAGACAATCTAGAGACTAAGGAATCGAACAGAAAGAAACTTCATTGAAAGCCTGAGATAGGGAATGTATGTCCACAGCAATCACCTCCAAGTGCCATTCAAAAGGGGATCTGTTAGTCAACTTCCTCTTTAAGCTCTCATCCTTTATGTATATTTCAACTCTGAGCCACTTTTGTTCAACCCCCAAAGTGAGCCAATGTCTTAAATGTCTTAACTGAAGTAAAGAATCCTGTGTCTTGCAATTGGCATGGGGATTTCTGTGAGCAAACCAATTTATCCTCCTCTCATCTTACCTCTAATCTTCCAGTGTACTGGATGGATGGATACAGATGATTGTACCCCTACTCCCTGTCTTCTGTCAAAGGGCATTCTCCATCACTGCATGACCACAAGGCTTTCCAACATCTTCAAATTCTAGCCACTCTCTCTTAGCTCCTTCTACTAGTGATCTTTCAGATATCATTGCTTGCTTGAATATTCAGGAGTTTCTGGTTCTCCACAACCACCAAAGGAGGTAAGTGGAGTGCTGGTATCCTGCAGGCTGCATAGATCCTCCCACCAATCTTTGAGGTAGCCATGATCTGATTGGAGCTTGTTCCAGTGAATGCCTGCAATTTTCCAAACAGTTTGGGCTCTGGGGCAGTAAAACAACAAATGCTCTAGTGTCTCCTCTTGTTCCCCACCAGCAGCATACCACATCTGAAACTACTCCTTTCCTAGACAAATTTGACTTTGTGCCCAACCAGTTATAACATTTCCAAAGAAAGTTTATTATCTTTGGTTTATGGGCAAGAACCATGTTTTCTTCCAGATCTTTTGGATGTTAATTCCCCTGCCAGAGCTAGTCCCCACCCCTCATGCTGCCTCCTTCTTCTTATCCCTGATAATTCTATATGCTTCCTTAACGGAGAAAATGTCCTTTTTGTGAGAATTCCAGATCAGCTTGTCAGGGAGCCTGTGTTTAACTGATGTATATTTTTAAAATCCAAGAGGCTATTGAGGGACAGAAAGTCTGCTGCACCAAGTCAACATCCCAAGTCATTTTATCCCCATCAAAAAGATCAGAGACTTTCTGAATAAGCAAATCATCCCCTGCAAAAACACACTTTGGCTTGAAAGATGGGATATTAGGAATCCATGGGGAATTCCATACATGAATAGTGCTCCCATTCCCCACCTGATATCTAATCCCCAGATTCAAAGAAGGTATAGCCTCCAGCCAGCATTTCCACATCCAAGAATCATTAACTTTTTAGCAATATCTAAGAAATTCTTCTGGTAAAAGTATCTACCCCTAATGACGCAGTTAGGCTTAGTGAGGACCCTCCAAATCTGCCTTAAAATAAGAGCCTCATTAAAATCCCCTATATCTCTAAAACCCAGACCCTCTTCCCATCTATGCTTAGCTAAATAATCCCAAGAGGCCCAATGAATCCTACTACTACCTCCCTCACTCTTGCCCCACCAAAACCGTGCAAACTCTCTGCAAATATCATGGCAAACACCCACAGATAACCTAAAAACAGACATGACATAAACAGGAAGACCACTGAGAGTAGTTTTAATTAGAATCTCCTTGCCAGCATCACTAAAAAACTTGTTTTTCCAGCTGCAAATTTTAGATTTCACACATTCTCTAACAAAATTAAAAGTTTGTTTTTTATTTCTGCCAATGCCAAGGGGAAGCCCCAGATATCCGTAACATATTATCCTGCAGTTTCCTTGTTAGTGAAGTGCAACTTCCTTTCATTACACTTTCATTGCACTTTCATGGCACTTTCATGGCAGCCATTTTGGCTGAAAATCACAGCTTAAGTAATTTCTAGGAAAGTCACTAGGATAGTTGTTTTTAGTTCTTATAAATAGGGGTGCAGTTTTTATTTGTAAACACAAAAGAGAAAAAACTGAATACTCAATACATTGAGTTATTAAAATTCTTCTTTTATCCTAAAAGTGTTTGTTTGTGCCGAGACTAACAAGTGGCATCAGAGCCATGGCAAGCCAAGATGTTGCGTCGACGGTGCAAGAAGCAGAGCAGACGCTTCACCGCGCCAGGAGGTCATCATCCACAGGACTGTGCGGGACGTTGGCGGGGCAAACTGGCTGGTCCTCACACGCACAAACTACGGCGAGTGGGCGGTGTTGATGAAGGTCAAGTTGCGTGCGCGCAAGCTTTGGCGGGCCATCAAAGAAGGCACCGAAAATGAAGAAGGACTGTGCAGCGATGGAAGCGATTCTATCCGCTGTGCCTCACGAGTACGTGGAGTCGCTGGGCGTAGAGGACTCCGCAAAGGCTGCTTGGGATGCCCTCTAGGCCATGCACATCGGGTCTGATCGCGCAAAGAAGGCGAAGGCGCAGCAGCTGCGGCGGGAGTATGAGGCGCTGGCGTTTCGCGACGGCGAGACAGTGGAGGATTTCTCGCTCCGTCTGCAGTCGCTCGTCAGTCAGCTGGCGGCGCACGGCGTCACCATCACCGACGAGGAGGCGGTCGCGAAATACTTGCGTGTCGTGCCGCCTAAGTACTCCCAGATCGCGCTCTCCATCGAGACGTTAATCGACATGTCCACTCTCACGATTGAGGATGTGACTGGGCCCTTGCGGGCGGTGGATGACCGTGGGGAGATGGCGACGATAACTACCAACGGCAAGTTACTGCTGACCGAGGAAGAATGGGCCGCTCGTATGCGCGAGCGGCAGGGGGAAGGCTCCTCCAACCGTGGTGGCTACGGCAAGCGCCGTGGCAAGGCTCTGAAGAAGAAGGACAACGACAACGCGCGTCCGATCGACAAGGACACTTGTCGACGCTGTGGGAAGACAGGGTACTGGGCCCGAGATTGCAAGAATCTCAAGAAGGAGAAAAAGGAGGCGCACCTCGCGCAGGTGGACGATGAGGAGCCATCTCTTCTCATGGCGAAGTTCTGCACGTTGCACGACGTCGAGCCAGAGTTGGAGAAAGTCAAGGCGGCGGCTACGGAATAGGGAAAGGCACTGCAGGCAGTTCACCTCGACGAGTCGCGTGCCCAAGTCCACCTTGGACGAATGGGTGGTGGCATGGAGCTGAGGTGGTACCTGGATTCCGGTGCCAGCAACCACATGACTGGTTCCAAGGAAGCTTTCTCCGAGCTTGATGATGGTGTAAGGGGGACGGTGAAGTTCGGCGACGGCTCGAAGGTGGAGATTCGAGGTCGCGGCATCGTCATCTTTCGGTGCTAGAACGGCGAGCACCGCGCATTGACGGATGTGTACTATATCCCGCAGTTGCGTTCAAGCATCGTTAGCATCGGGCAACTAGACGAGCACGGGTGTGAGGTGCTTGTCAAAGGCGGCGTGCTAAAGCTCAAGGATCAAGAACAGCGGCTGCTGGCCATGGTCCAGCGTTCCCGGAACCGCCTCTACCTCCTCGACTTGAAGGTGGAGTAGCCAGTGTGCTTGGCGGTATGGCACACCGAGGAGCCATGGCTATGGCATGCTCGGTTCGGCCATTTGAACTTCGACGCACTCAGCCGGCTGAGGAAGATGGTGCGCGGGCTCCCGCACATCGAGCACGCAGGCGAGCTGTGCGACAGCTGCCTGGCAGGGAAGCAGAAGCGGCTGCCCTTCCCAACGGCGGCCAAGTATCATGCGGCGGACGTCCTAGAGCTCGTCCACAGCGACCTCTGCGGGCCGATCACGCCGGCTACGCATGGCGGACGACGCTACTTCCTGTTGCTCGTGGATGACTGTAGCCGTTTCATGTGGCTGCAGCTCCTGACGAGTAAGGATCAGGCGGCGGAGGCAATCAAGCGGTTCCAGGCGCGAGCCGAGGCAGAGTCCAGAAAGCGACTGCGCGTGCTGAGGACGGATCGCGGTGGCGAGTTCACATCGGTGGAATTCGCCGCGTACTGTGCAAACCAGGGGGTGGTGCGCCATCACACTGCGCCGTACTGACTGCAACAAAACGGCGTAGTGGAGCGGCGGAATCAAACCGTAGTGGGCATGGCCCGAAGCATGATGAAGGCAAAGGGCATGCCAGCAGAGTTCTGGGGAGAGGCTGTGAGCACGGCAGTGTTCATCCTCAACCGTGCGCCCACGAAGGCCCTGAAGGGCATGACGCCATTCGAAGCTTGGCATGGTAGGCAGCCCGACGTCTCGTTTCTAAGGACGTTTGGGTGCATTGGCCATGTGAAGAAGACGAAAGCCTTCTTGTCCAAGCTTGAGGATAGGAGCACACTGATGATGTTCCTAGGCTACGAGGAGGTGAGCAAGGCCTATCGGCTCTACGATCCGCGTGGAGGCAAGGTGGTGGTTTCGCAGGATGTGGTCGACGAAATGGCGGCCTGGGATTGGGAGAATCCTGGCATGGGGGAAGCCCGTGGCGTTGGCGGTACGTTCTTCATCGAGCATTTGGTGATCCACGGAGGAGGAGATGCGGGAGTAGAGGAGCCAACTGCGGACGCGCCAAGTCCAGCAGCTATGGCGGCGTCGGATGAGTCGCAAAGTCCAGCCATGGCGGGCACAGGCGAAGAGTTTCCACCAGCGGCTGCGCACACACCCCCACAGTCCCCTGCTGCGGCTTAACAAGGGACACCTCCAGCGACGACAGTTGAGTTCACCTCTCCTCCAAGCGACATCGACGAGTATGTGGATGCCTTCCACGACGGCGAGGTGGTGAGGTTTCGCAGGATGGACAACCTCGTTGGCAACTCGGCCGTACCAGGCTTGGCGAGCCGATTACTCGATGATCAGGAGCTGCTCCTCGTCAGCGCAGAGGAGCCATCGACTTTCGCGCAGGCCGAGGGCAATGTCAATTGGAGACGAGCTATGCTAGAGGAGATGAAGGCGATCGAGGAAAATGAGACGTGGGAGCTCGTCGATCCACCTCCAGGCTGTCATCCAATCGGGCTCAAATGCGTCTACAAGGTCAAGCGGGACGATTGTGGCGCCATAGTCAAGCACAAGGCGCGCCTCGTTGCTCGCAGTTTCGTCCAGCGAGAGGGCATCGACTTTGAGGAAGTTTTTGCACTAGTGGCGCGCATGGAGTCAGTTCGCCTACTACTGGCCATGGCGGCAATGAAGGACTGGCGCATTCATCACCTAGACGTGAAATCGGCCTTCCTCAATGGCGAGCTAGCGGAGACTGTTTTCGTCAAGCAAGCTCCGGGCTTCGTCGTCAAGGGAAAGGAGCATAAGGTGCTACGGCTGCGGAAGGCACTCTATGGGTTGCGACAAGCCCCGCGAGCGTGGAACACCAAACTCGATGCCACTCTGGGTACGCTTGGGTTCACGCACTCGCGACAGAGCACGCGCTCTACACGCGACGCCGGGGGAAGGAGGAGCTCGTCGTCGGCGTGTATGTGGATGACTTGATCATCACTGGGGCACGAGAAGGGGACATCAACGGCTTCAAGCGCGAGATGGCAGCTCGTTTCCGCATGAGCGATCTCGGGCAGCTTTCCTACTACCTCGGCATCGAGGTGAAGCAGGGGAGAGACTCCATCACTCTCTGCCAGCGTGCGTATGCGGGGAACCTGTTGCAGTGGAGCGGCATGGCTGACTGCAAGTCATGCGCGACTCCGATGGAGGAGCGGCTGAAGCTGACGTCAGCCAGCAGCACGGGGAAGGTGGATGCAACACTCTACCGGAGTATCGTCGGCGGGTTGCGCTACCTAGTCCATACAAGGCCAGATATCGCATTTGCCGTGGGCTATGTCAGCCGCTTCATGGAGGACTTCCGAGAGGATCATTGGGCTGCGGTAAAGCGGTTGTTGCGCTATGTCAAGGGGATAGTGGACCAGGGCATCATCTTCCCCAAGACCGGCGGTGGAAGTGGGCTGCGGCTCACGGTTTTCAGCCATGCAGACATGGCAGGCGACATTGATGGGCGGAAGAGCACCTCCGTTGTGCTCGTCTTCCTTGGATTGGCCCCAATCTCATGGCAGTCGCTGAAACAGAAGATCGTGGCGTTGTCTACGTGCGAGGCGGAGTACGTGGCGGCAGCCACAGCGGCGTGTCAGGCGGTCTGGCTGCGTCGATTGTTGAGCGAGCTGACCGGCGAGGAAGCTCATCCACCAGCTCTGATGGTGGACAACCAGCCCGCCATTGCCCTTGCGAAAAATCCAGTCCTCCATAACCGGAGCAAGCACATCGACACCCGTTTTCACTTCATCCGAGATTGTGTCGATGAAGGACAGATTGTTTTGGAGTTTGTCGAATCCGGACGGCAGCTTGCGGACATCCTTACCAAGCCACTCGGCCGTCTTCAGTTCATGGAGCTTAGGACCATGATGGGAAATAAGCAAAAGCAGCAAGATTAGGGGAAGAATTGTAACATATTATCCTGCAGTTTCCTTGTTAGTGAAGTGCAACTTCCTTGCACTTTCATGGCACTTTCATGGCAGCCATTTTGGGCTGTGATTTTAAGTAATTTCTAGGAAAGTCACTAGGATAGTTGTTTTTAGTTCTTATAAATAGGGGTGCAGTTTTTATTTGTAAACACAAAAAGAAAAAAAACTGAATATCAATACATTGAGTTATTAAAATTCTTCTTTTATCCTAAAAGTGTTCGTTTGTGCCGGGACTAATAATATCTTGAGCTTTTAGCCAGTACAATTCCATTAAAGATTTGAGAAATGCCAGCTTTCAGGATATCAGGGGTATTGGGAGAGAAGAAGATATTGGATTTGTGGAGGTTAATGGCTTGGCCAGACACAACACAGTATTTATTCAAAATAGCAGAGAGAGTAGAAGCATGAAATATATCAGCCGGAAAAAAAATAAAATAAGTGCATCATCTGCAAAAAATAATAAGTGAGAGATGGAAGGGGAGTGCTTACCAATATTCAAACCTTGAAAATTTGAGGAAAGGCAAGCTTGATGAAGGAGATTAGAAAGGGCTTCAGATATGATGATAAATAGGTAGGGACTGCCTAATGCCCCTAGACGGAAAGACAAAGACAGACCCCAAAGCTTGACCAACAACATTATAAGAGAGAGTAGTACTAAGATAAACCCAAAGCCAGGAGAGAAAAATATCATCAAAACCCATCTTCTTACAAACCTGAATAAGAAAGGACCATTCTACACCATCAAAAGCTTTGGCCATATCGATTTTAAGAGCCATAAAACCCTTCTTCCCTGTTCTTTTACTATTCAAAAAGTGGATGCACTCATTAGCAATAATAACATTGTCTAATATCTGCCTATCTGGAACAAAAGCTACAGATATACACACATGCAAAACACCCTTAAGCCTATTTAAAAGGATTTTGGCTATAATTCTATAAGTGAGTGCAGAGGCTAATAGGCCTGAAATCAGACTCTTTGAGGAAGTCTTGATTTTTGGGATGAGAGTAATTACTGTGTGGTTAGTGGCCTTTGGTAAAACAGCAGCAGAGAAGAAGTTCTTCACAACAATGCAAAGATCAGTTTTAATAAGGTGCCAAGAGGATTGGAAAAAAGCAGGGGAAAAACCATCAATACCTGGATTTGCTTTGATGAATTTATGAATAGTTAGGCAAGAAATGATTGTGTTTCTAGTTTATATATAGTGCTTTTCTAGTGTCCAAATCCCAAAATTGTGAGGACTGTTTGAAATTTGAAGTATTTTCTGAACTAATTGGAATCATTCTTAGTGTTTTTTTTTTAATTGTGATTGTAGTTGTGTTCAATTATCATTTGGAAAAGAATGAAGTGAATTCTTATTTATTGTTTCTTTTTTGACTTCCTCGTGTTCAATTAATCATTTGGAAAAGAATGAGGTGAATTCTTATTTATTATTTTCATATTTGACTTTGTTATGTGATTGTAGTTGTTTTCAATTACTATCATTTGGGAAAGAATGAGGTGAATTCTTATTTATTATTTTCATATTTGACTTTGTTGTGTGATTGTAGTTGTGATCAATTACGAGGAAGACATTGGGACGTACACGATAAAGGCTGTAGATGATCCAAGGACGCTGAACAAGATCCTTTACATTAAGCCTCCCAAGAACATATACTCGTTCAACGAGCTCGTGGCTTTGTGGGAGAAGAAAATCGGCAAGACTCTAGAGAAAGAGTATGTTCCGGAGGAACAAGTGCTTAAGCAGATCCAGGGTAAGTCCCATACATCACTTGGGTTGAATCCTTTTGTATACAAAAATATCCTCTCAAAATGAGTTTTTTTGGTTAACCGGAGTTCATTTTGAAAAAAAACTAGTATTGGTATGGTTAGTTGATAGTGAGATTTTTATTTTATATTAAAATAATATTTAAAATAAAATAATTAAAGTTGATTTAATGTAAAAGTAAGAGAGAGATGATATGAAGTGATAGTTAGTTAAAATTATATTAGTGGATGACTAGTAAATTAAAGTTGATGTGATGTGTAAGAATGATTAGTTGATATTATTTAATTATATTGATAATATTGATGATACTGGAGGTGAGTTAAAGTTGAGTTAGATTTTGAGTATAAATTGAGTAAGAATTGAGAAATTTCATATACAAACACACCCTTACAATCTAATGAGCTATATAGTCATTTGGATTTGAATGTGATTAGATTGTTGATTGATCGTTGGTTTGGTTTAATTTAATCCAATGTGATGTTCTGCAGAATCACCGGCTCCGCTTGATGTAATATTGGCCATTAACCACTCGATTTTCGTAAAGGGAGATCATACTTACTTTGAGATCGAGCCGTCATTTGGAGTTGAGGCTTCGGAAATTTATCCAGATGTCAAGTACAAAACTGTGGAGGAGTACCTTGATCAGTGTGTGTGATGTATGCGTATATTTGTAAGTAAGTATACATTAATTATCTTTGGTGTGGTATGTTTTAGTTACTTAGTTATGGTTTCATGGTTTCTTATGTCTTTGTTATTTCTACCTAGCATGTCCTGCTGGGGATTTATTATCAATAAAAATGGAGATTACTTTAGGATGATTGGGGTTTATTATCAATAAAAATGGAGATTACGTTAGAATGATTGCTTGTATTGTGTTTTTCCTGTGTGTGGTGTATCTTTTTGCTGTCTCTTTGTGCGTTTTTTCCTTGAATTTCATCTGATAAGCAGCACCAAGCAATAGTTATTTGTTTGGTTTTATTTTCATTATTTTATGAATATCTAACATTAGGACATTATAAGAGAGAACTTCCATAAGAGGTAAATTTTATGAATATCTGAAGTTAGGACATGAATTGAAATTCCAATCCAATTTATTGATAGGAAATTTTTACATATGCTACCCAAAGTAGTGACGTATTTCATTGTAAGTACCTGTAATTTCACGATTTACACATGATATTCACATCATTGGATTGGAACATACATACTTCATGGTCAGGTACCTGTAATTTCACGATTTTCGCATCATTGGTTTGGAAAATTTGTGCCTTCTAGTGTGGTGGTGTCCTCATTGGGTTATTTTATTATTATTATTATTATTATTATTATTATTGAATTAGCGCATAAGAATAAGAATGTATGCAAGTGTGTGATTCAACGATAAAAGTTAAAGTAACCGGTTATTAGTGGTTTATCACATAAGAATGTATGTATGTGAGTTTGTGATTCAACGATAGAAATTAAAAAAAAAAAAAGTCA